CCTTCAATGCCAGTAAATCACAGTCTCGAGTCATGTCAAATTTTGAAAAAGAAAACTAAATTGCAGTTGTCCTCTAAGGAAAAAGCTGCAAAACTGAGAGAGAACAAGCTCTGTTTAAAGGAAGAAACCTGGCTGGCAGCCTCCCACGGTGTGCAGGGACAGGGATCACCAAAAACCTCCAAGTGAAGGAGAACAGCCTGACACCAGGGAGCCCGGGGGACCCTCTGTGCCACCCCAACGAGCTGCCTCCATAGGTCTTCCGTGGTCTAATGTCAAAAGAGTCTAAACTTGTAGGATTTCTCCGTATAAGCTGAGCCTCCCGTCCCCCACGGCCGTGACACAGAGGGCTGGGAGCAGGGCAGAGCCGGGCTCCAGCAGCGTTTATTGTTTGAGGCTTAGTCCCTGGGCTGGGTTTGTGCTTGGAAAGACAAGTGGGGAGCTGAGGGGATCGTCGCCTCTTGTTTTAAGGGTGGGGATTTCTTTGTGCAGAGGAAAGTTAGAGAAGTACTTAACACAGCAGGGTTTCACTCGGCTGAGCCCATCTGGGTTCACTCAAAGTTCTGGGCACTGCACCAAGAACTGGGGAAACTGAGGACAAATTAGAGCACGAAAACACCCACTGACCCCAAACCCACCCTTTACATTTTTTAAGGGGTGCAGCGACTTGTCTTTTCCCTTCTGCAGCAGAGTTAAACTTTCCTGACAGCTGAATTAACTTGGAGAAGAGCTGAGAGCGGCCTGCTCGAACGAGAGGAGGGAAGGTCCGTACCCCCGCTGTTCCTGCTAATTCCCCTCCCCGCACCCCACAAAGCTCATTTGCAGGGGGCTCAAATTGCTCCACGCGCCGCAGATTCACCGTCACATCACGTCACGGCATCCCGTCTGGCACAGACCCCCAGGGCAGCGCTTTCACCTCGTACGATCGTCTCTCAGCAAACCCCTTGCAATAAGCACTGCTATTTTTGAAAACTCTATTTAAAAGTTTGTTTTGTGGTCTAAGCTTAGGAGGCTTCTTTGCTTCACAAGGTGACCTCACACCACACCGCCTGAGCCCAGAGCCCAGGGTGCAAGCTCTTCCCGTGAAAGAATGCCTCCCGAGAAGCTGGAAAGATCCAACCCACAAAAAAAAAAAAAAAAAGAGGAAAATTAGGAGCAGCCATGACAGAGACAAGGAAAAAATGCAAAACATCTCGTGCCAGATCCTTAGCTGATAAAAACCCAACATGCATAACACAGAGCTTCAGGCTGGGATACACTTACCCATCCCTGAATGTTTAATGGGAGCGTATGCATCAGTTAATCAGCGGCACAAGACACAAAGCATTTTGTACCTCCTCTCCACGCGTTGTGCAATTAAAAGGCTTCTCATTCAGGCATAGATAGAAAAGTCAAGGGACTTCGGCTGTGAAACATCCATTATTCAAAAGTGTATCCATTATTCAAAGTTTTTCTTAAAATCCTATTGTCAGCTTGAAAGGAAAAAGAAAATGAGTTTCTGAAAGCTGTGTCCCATTGATATTCCACTCCAATTTTTGCTGATTGTAAGTACTAAAACTCCAGACATTTCGAAGAGCTGAAGAAATCCTTCACGGTTCCCGAGAAAGGCAACACCCTGTGGGCAGTCACAATTTACCCCCCCCACACACACTTACCTCTCCCTAGCAGAGAGGTGATGCATCCTGGCCAACAGCATGCTCCTTTCCCAAGTCGCTGAGCTGCCCCAGCAGGAGGCTGACAAGCATCCCTTCAGGGGAAGCCGATACCAAATTACTCAGCAAGCAGTAGCTGATACACACCACTGCACCTGACCACCTGGACACCCATAAGCTCAGCTGAATGAAGCTTGGGTGGGATGCACAACCTTCTCGCAGCACCCAGGAGCTTCAGCATAGGGTGCCAGGCCTAGGCTACAGGAGGTCACATAAGAAACGAGTCCCAAGGGTGCCTCCCCACCCCCCAGAGGTGGGTGCAGAGGGGTGCAGCCATTGCAAGGGAAAGCCCAGCACTACCACAGCTCCTGCCACAAAGGGCAGACACTGTGTCAAGCAAAACCAGTGCTGCCCCAGGAAAGATGCTACAGAGGAACCACCTGGATGGTGGAGGATCTTCAGCATGAAGAACAAACAATCAACTGCTAATGCTAGAACATTAAAACAAGCAGCAAAGGAGGTTTTAATTCCTCTAGGAGCTGGAGGACCTAGAGGG